CTTCGACTCCTGCGATGAGGATCAGGACTACACCTGCTCTCACTGCGACCGCCCCTTTACCTCACACATCGGCCTGCTCGGTCACTTGCGAATCCATCGCACAGAGACTGGCGAACCAGTGCCTGGAGCACCAACCTACACCCACCACACTCGCGTCCACTGCCCACACACACATCACATCCAAAACATCCACCATGCCCAACCCCACCCTCGCACCATCCGTATGCGCCTCCACCACCACTGCCTCCTCTGCAGCTGACACCGACAACGCCGACTTCACCTGCCCACACTGTCCACGCACATTCACATCTCGCATCGGCCTGGTCGGTCACTTGCGAATCCATCGCACAGAGATTGGCAAAGCAGTGCCTGTAGCACCAGCCTATACCCACCAAGCTCGACGCAAGTGCCCACACTGCCCTAGCACTTTCAGCCATCGTATGGGCCTATTTGGTTACATGCGCATCCACGGCTACATGCGGTAGACAACCGCCGGTTACACCACACATTCACACAATCCCCTACCTTCCTCCACCATCACCAACATACATCAACACTCACCAACCGCAAGCACTTAACTGCCACCTTCCACGCAAGTGGGAAGTGGTCATCTCGACTCGGTCCCCATGCGGCTTCGGCTGCACGGATGACTTGAGTCCGAGTCTATCCCGACACTTCAAGCGTCAAAGATACGAAGGTTGCCGCTTGACGCCCGCTCTCGGTTCACGCAGTTCGTCGCGTTGTGCGTGTGTTGTGTGGAGTGGCGGACTGGTAGGCTGGGGACGGGATGAAACAGCACCTTCCACGGAACTCACACGCAAGTGAGAAAAACGTCGTTCAACCCCCGTTGCGTGAAATCCTGGTGCTTGTGTCAGTCGACCATGTCAGCCACCGCGCCCATTTCCCACTCCAGTCTACTGACCGGCTCAGACAGCGACTGGGGTGTGGGAGTGGGAAAGGAGAGTGAGGTCGACGACTCAGCGCACTTTCCTCACTATAAACAATCTGACGCGCTTGAGGCTATCCCGGTGCGCTAAAAGCCGTGGCTTGGAGGGTTGCCAACTGACGGGGTAACTTGGACCTCCTCCTTAACCGGAGGCGGTCTGAGAGTCAGGCTGCAATGCCTCCTTTTAAATGTGGCCTTTATGGCATTCTTACGACAGTGTGGGATCCGAGCCAGGCGTTGGCGGCACGTCCAGGTGCGGCTTCGGCCGTGCCAGCCTCCAAATCTGTCTTGTATTGGTTACACTTCTGGTCATTTGTTGTATGGACCAGGGGGTGTGGTGGAACGCCAAGGTGAGGATCCGTCCGAGCCATCCACCTGCGGCCTCCCTCGCCTCCGGTCTTCTTGACTCTGTCTTGACACCGGGCCCAGGCGGGGGAGGAGGAGAGAGTGTAGGTAGATGCAGCGCAAGTCTACTGGCACTTTAAACCCCTGCACAAGTCACCGTCCCTGCTCCCACCACTGCTGCTGCGGCTGTGGGGCACACGGTGGACATCGTCGAAATCGACGATCGAACTGTCGTGTGTATGTGTGCGGTGGCGGAAAGGAAGGGATTGCGGTAGACACTGTCCAAGTCTACCAACTACTTCACGCACAAGTCACTATTCCCGCTACATCTATAGTGGACATAATCAGCAACTACAGTTGAACGGTCATGTTTGTGCTTCATTTCTAGACTGAAATACAGTGATTCCTCGTCGATCGCGGGGATTTGATTTCCGCAACCGGCCACTAAATATGAGAATTCGCGCAGTTAAAAGCCCGTGTTTTATGGTAATATATGCATATTTTAATGTCTTATATGTATTCCTAGATTGCAGGAAAAAATTTTCGCATAGCTATATGGCAAAACCCCGCAGTCCCCATAATATACAAGTATGTATTCGTCGATATCATGTATGTAACCTTCCTGCTTACACATTGCGCATAATTATACGCAACCTACATCAGTATGGAGTCTAAATTAATATGTACTACTGTTCAAAAACTTTTTAATAATGCATATTTCCACAAAAGTGCCTTTATAATTACTGCAGTATTAGAATACACTGTGATTGATGTTCTAGAATGTACACCATACATTGAAAATATCTACGCTTCTGTTCTTCGTTGAGACAGTCGATGCATAAGAAACTTGATGGCATACGTTAATCGAGCAACTCCTTAGCCGACCAGCACTTTGAAATAAATTGGGCAATC